GCATGTTAATAGAAATTGGCTTCAAGCAACACCAGGCCAGCTGGTCTGTCGCTTAATGAATATTAATGAAGCACTTGGCACATTCCAGGCGCCAGGGGAGCTGCTAGGACAGTGGCCGCAAGAGAGGTCCACGGCTTCTCCTCACCCAGGTCACTGTTGAGCGGGGAGGCCCAGTGCCACCACGCAGACCTGTGCGACATTGTGGGACTGTGCAGCTCTACGAGCCTCAGTTTGTACACCTTTTGAATGGGGTTATATGACCTCTCTTACAGAGTTGGGAAGAAATGGTGATAGCTAGCATTTAGGGCTCACACATGCCAGAAACAGCTGAGTGCTTTACACACAGTGTCACCTTTTGTTTCCCCAGCAGCCTTGTGAGCTAAGTATTATCACTAGCTCCATTTGACAGATGAGGAAGTTAGAGAGGCTAAGTGGCATCTTGGTAGTGACAAAGTGGGAACAGAGTGAGCGCCCATCAGGCGGCAGTGGTTGAACGAAGTATGATTCGTTCATGCCATAGGCTCCTGGCAGCTGTTAGACAGATGGGCCTGGGGCTCTGCTGCGGGGCTTGGGAGGCCGAGGTGGGAAAGCACGTTGCTGAAAGGGGTGTAGCTGATAATCCTTGTGAAACAGGCGTGACCTCAGCACCCCCTCATGTGCCATGCGTCTCCGTGTGCGGTGGCTTATGTGAGAGCGGGCGAGAAGGAGGTGTGGCAGGACATGCACAGGGCTGTCAGCACGCATGCCGCTGCTGTGTGGGGGGTGGAGGGGGAGCCAAAGCAGAGAGAAGAAGAGACGGCACCCAGAGCGGAGCGCCTGTGTGTGTGTGTGTGCACCGCACACTTCCGTAGCAGTAAAACCATGTTTCATTTGCATTCTTAAGAAACAAAGGGTGAACTAGTTAGTGAACGTGACACATGCAGAGCCCAGCTCACGGCTGCCAGCGGGGTTTGGACCCCAGAGCCCACGCCTGGCTGCCCTGTCCCCATTCCCCTGACCGAGGAAGGCAGCACTGCAGAGCTAAGCGCTTCCCTCAGGACTCCTCCCCTCTGCTCCCCATTTCCTCAAAGTCAAGAACCCGTTTGTGGCCTACAGCTGTGGCTTCTGGCGGCAGTTGGTGCTGCTGCCAGGAGAGGGAGCGGCCCTGCGGGGTGCAGTTTACCTTGCCCACGGTCACTCCGCTGGCCCTGGCACCCACAAATAGGTGCTCTTGCTGCCATCCTGGTGTTCGAGCCACAAGGCCTGGCACCACGTCTGCTGCCTCCAGGGCTGTTCAAAGGTGCAGGATCTGCTTTTACAGCCTTTAAAAATGCTGTCTGCACGCAGACAGTGACTGGGCCCTGACTGTCTGCTATTAGGAAGGTGCTGACAAGAGCATCCTGCCTGATTATCCTCCGTAATTAGCTCCATCAGGGGCCACACCATCCCGGGGCGCAGCCCGTCCTGGAAACCAGCTGCTTCCCAAATGCTCATTTCTGTTTGTTTTGTGTTGTTAAGCTGCACAGACCAGCACGTATACCGAGTGAAACTGGTAACCCCTCCATTCAGCAGATTCTTCTGCATACCCACCCCCAGGAAGGAGGTGCTAGGGACACCCATGGACCAGGCGGGGTGGGTCACTCAGCCCTTCAGTCAGCGATGGAGACATGGAACAGGCAATAGAGCGATGCCATGAATGGGGGACCTGGGGGCTCTAGCATCTCGGGAGGTGGAGGGAGCGGCCAGGGAGGCTTCTTGGGAGAACCTTCCATAGGCAGAATCTTCAGCGTCCTGGGGAGGCCTCCATCCAGCGCCATCTCTCCTTAGCGAAACGAGGAGAGAGGGCCCACATGCTGTCGCCCTGACACCCCCATCCGGGCAGAGGGAAACCCTGTAGCATCTGCCACATGAATAACGGTTGGCCAGCTGGCTTTCTTCCACCCCCTCCTCCCTTCCTGCCCCCAGTTTGCCGCCAGAAGCACAATGCAGAAAGTAACGTTGTTCAGCCTCAGATGTTTCTGACCCACACTGCGCTCAACCTGCACATTGATTCTGGGAATAAACCTATAACAGAAAGACCCTTTTCCAGAAGCCAGTAAAATTCAGCTCATGCAATATAGTAATGTCTGATGTGAATGTCTGCGTATAACAGGGTTCCTCAGTCAGGGCGTGGTCAGCAGCACATGACACTTATGAATGCACTTTCATAGTGAACAGAAAGTTTTCACACTCTGATCTGCAGGGTAAAAAGGTCCAAATTAGGAACCTGAAGTCCGGGGCTTTATTTAACCCTCCCTCTTTATTTAAACCATGTGCACCCGCTGTGTGACCTTAGGACACTGAGTGAGCCTCTCTGAGCCCCAGTTTCCTCAAATAGGAAGTGGGGGTCATGAGGGTGATATGAAGACACCGCGGGAAGGAGGTCCCATCCAGCAGAGCCTGTGCGGTGCAGGGCCTGTAACAGGTGCGGTGGCACTTCACTGCCCTCAGGGGGCCTGTGAGAGGGGCCCCACCTCAGTGACAAAGGCCAGGGACAACCCAAATGCTATAACTGGTCAGGGGCATCGAGGTTCCAGGCTGCTGCTTTCTGCAGCAGGCGTCCAGGCTGTACCTCCTGCCGAGGCCGTCACGTAGGTACTGCACAGGCCTGATGCGTACACGTTTGTGGGAAGGGTGGGTTGCAGCTGGTGGAGGCTGGCACTGGCCTTTCTTGTGAGCGAACTGCTGACTCGCCCTGTCCTGACCCCCCCCTCACACCCCCTGTTCCCTGTGTGAAGTGGGCTGAGTCACACCTGCCCCACAGGTGCCGTGTGTAAAGAATTTCCAGTCTTCATTCCTCTCTCTCACTACCCTGGTGTCATTCATGTTTCCTTTGGGGTCACTGCCAAATTCGATCTGATGGCCAGTATAAAATGTCAGCTTCGGGGCTTAGAGACTGTCCCTAGGTACAAGGCTGTACTGATGCCCTGTGGCCTCTGGTGCTGGTGGGTGGGTTGCCAAGGTCCCCTGGTGAGTAGGTGGGCTGGACGCATGCGGGGCAAGCACCTGGCTGCTTCCCCGCGTCGCTGCCACCTCATGGCCATGCTTGGCGCCAAATCCTAGAGATGTTGTTTCTTTGTATTTCTCTGCCTGTAGGTACGATGAAGAGCTGGCGCAGGGGGACGGGGCTGACCGAGAGCTGAGAAGTCGGTCGGGCCAGTCGCTGGGGTCCAGAGGGATCCGGTCAAGAGACTCAGGGAGAACTGTCCTCACAACCTGGAAATGACCACCAGTGATGACAGTGAGACTCCAGCTTGGACCCCCCAGAACCACTCACTGCACCCTAAAGACCTATGAGTATTTTGAAATTTCCTTTTTCTAGAGCTTTTTTCCTTTCCTAAGTCCTGTAAATAAATAAAGACACTTCTTTGGAAGGTTTAAAGAGTCTATTCTTGGAAAACATTCTTTCTCCTTTGCTCTCACAATACTTCTGAGACGAGGCGTGTGGGGATTTTCCCCATACCGAGCAATTCTGTAGTTTCCAGCTGGCTCTGGGTGGCCTGCAATTTAGCTCAGTTCGGACACTATCAACCTGGAGATGGCGGCAGATCCCACAGTTTAAGGGCTCAATCCCACAAGACTGCCCCCGACTCTCACGACTTCAGATGCCAATCGCAAGTCCGGGCTGTCGCTTGTGCTACTGACCAACTGGCTATAAAACTAGGTTCCCATGACTCCCTCAAGGGTTGGGTTACTTTGCTAGAGTGGCTCACGGAACTCAGGAAAAACTGACTTACCAGATTATTGGTTTATAATAAAGGATACAACTCAGGAATAGCCAGATGGCAGAGATGCTTAGGGCAAGGTTTGGCGGAGGGGCGAGGGGCTTCCATGCCCTCCCCAGGCGCGTCGCTCTCCCAGGCCCTCCATGTGTTCAGCAACCTGGGAACCCTCTGAACTCCATAGTTAGAATTCCATAGTTTGGGATATTTATGGAGGCTTCATTACAGAGTCATGATTGATTAAATCGTTGGCCACTGGCGATTGATTCAGCCTCCGGCCCAGCTCCTTTCCCTGAATATTGGGGGGGTGGGCCTGAGAATGCCAACCCTGTGGTCACGTGGTGTGTACCCCTGGCAACTAGCCCCCATCTGAGGCTGTCGAGGAACCCCCACACCAATCATTTATTAGCACAAACTCGGGCATGGTTGAATGGGACTTGTTATGAATAGTGACACCCATTTTCACCCATATGTGCTGGAGCTATTTCAGGAGCTAGAAACAAAACTATATATTATAACAGAAAGATGCCCCGGAGCTCTTAGAAGGGAAATTACAAAGGTTTTAGGAGCTATCTGCGAGGAACGGGAGTGAAGAGCAAATGTATATTTCTTACTATAAATCGATAGCACAGTCCCTTTCATTAGGGCTGAGAGACGTGCCTCACGAATGCATAAAACTATCTCGTTCAGCAGAAAGGAACAACTTCGGCATATGACTCAGTTTTTTGGTTTTTTTTAATAAGCCCCCCCCTTTTTTTAAATTAGGGAATTGGAGGAGGGGAACAGTATTGGGGAATTGGGGAAGGGGACCAACCAAGCTCTTCAATCTTCGTTGTGGAGGGCGCCAGTCGCCATCTGGCTGCCCTTCGGCAGCTCGTGGCCTCTAAGCTCAAGGTGCTGTGTTCAATCTTAGTTGTGGGTGGGCGTAGCCACCTTACCATGCGGGAGTCGAACCAGCAGCCTTGTTGTGAAGAGCTCACGCTCTATCCACCGAGCCATCCAGGCGGCAGCTCACCTCAAGGTGCCGAGTTCAGTCTTAGTTGTGGGCTGGCGTAGCCCACCATCAAACAGGCAGTCTTGTTGTTACACCAGCTGAGCCATCCTGCCACTTACTGGCAGCTCAGTGGCCGCTCAGCTTGGGCGCAGCATCGCTGGCCCATGTGGGAATCGAACCAGCGGCCCTGTTGCTCAGAGCTTGCGCTCTTAAGCCAACTGGTAACCAACTGAGCCACTCGACTGGCCCATGTGACTCAGTTTAAGGTATAAGCGTTTTTAAAAGTTTGCACTGAAGACCGAAACCTGGATAGCTTACTGAATCATGCTGTTTGTGAGAAAGCAAGATTTTCAATCTGACAGCTAATTTGGTTTCATTCGTTTTTGACAATGGTTTTGAGGAAAACAGGCAATTAGAAACATTCCTCAGCAATTTGTCTTCACAGAGGCCTTTGTCTAGGTGCTGTCTCTCAGAAGAGACCGATCTGTGTCGCTTGGGTTTTCTAGGTGAGTCACTCGGTCAGACGAACCCAGACGGTTCCTACTGCATGGCTTACGTGACGTCAGCATCTGGGTTTGCTGCAGGAGGGTTATGTGCTGTTGGCAGCCATCAGCGGGGATGAGCTCTTGATGTGTGTTTACACGAAGCCACCGTGGACACTGGTGACTCACAGAAAAATATGGGAGGAAACCCCAGTAGGTTGGACAGAGTGAGTGGTGCGTCCGATTAATCCTGAGACGGGTGTCACTCTTAGTGAGAGCCTGTACTGAGTGCCTACCGTCACTTGTGTATGATGCATCATTCACTGTCTTGAATTTATCTTTAAAACTCCCCACCTATTTTTTATGATGATATTAATGGATTTTTTTTTTTTTAGCTGAGCCATCCTGC